CAAGAAGTTCTTTCGGTTAAAACGCCGTGCGACTCGGAGGACATAAGACTTCTTGGTCAAGCCAAAAAGATTGCCGGCAGAATGCTCCTACCCCACCATGCCTGGCCCTTTACCTTACCTTAAGAAGAAATGGGGGGTATGAATCGTGGGAAAGAATGAAAGAAGTGTCTGATACAACAGGTAACCTTAAGGAGTGGCGGCAAAGCTCTTGATTGATCAACGCGAGTGAACTGTGCTTAGACGCTTCGTAAAACCGCACCGATCTACGAGAGGAGCTGATGGATGAGTAGGCTTCCCCTTTCGATTTAAGGAATGTGATCTGGGACACGATGGGGGTTTGCGTGCCTCGGTAGGAAAGAGATCACCGGAGTATAGCACAAGATCGCCTTTTTTTTTCTTGCTGCCATGGGGTCGACCTGTAAACAAGGTAAACCCAATGGGAACCAAAAACGGGAGGGTACCACATTGACATTGGGCAGAAGACGATCCAAAAAGCGAAGGCTCACCCAGCTGAAGGCGATCGGCAGTGAGGGATGCTTACCTTCTTCTTAGAGAAAGGGGAAAGGGGCAACCTATCTGACTAATAATAAGAAAGGGGGTGAGATAGGCGACAGGTAGCTTGCTTCCAAGCCGGCCCGGCCGCGAGGAATCAAGAGATCTTTGCCGGTGCTTACTTGGATCTCGGGTGACGGAATAAGGCGCCCAGAAGCGACGAGCAGTCGCGGTCGAAGCTTGGCTCTAGGCGATAGGCGGCTAGCAGTAAGCTTGGCTACAGCAAAGCGCTTACCAAGCGCGAAGGATTCGTTCCTCTCCCAGCAACGGATGCCAAGGGTAGAAATGGGCGCGGCTTTCGCGCTAGCGCTCTCTCGTTAGCCGTTGCTTGTTTGGGTCGAGCTCAAACCTTCGCCACTTGAGCCGTATGCGGGGGAACTCGCACGTGCGGTTCTTAGGGGGGAGAGCTAGTAGGAACCATCCTATCCCAATAGCGTATATTTGGAGCTCAATATGAAATCCTATTTTCTTGCAAGACCCGTTCGGATAAGGGAAAACTCCAGAGATTGCTTCGAAGTAAGATCCTTGCGTTGACCCTTTCCTGAACCAGAACCGGGGGGGGGAGGGGTTGAGAGGAAAGAAAAGGGGATCCAAATTTCCCATCAATAAAGTGAGGGCTTTCCGGACCTTCCCCACCCCTCTTTCCATTCTTCCTTCCCCTCTCACTCCCCCTTTTTCAAGAAATAAGCCCCGCTCCCTAAGAAGGGGCCCCTCTCTGATAAGGAAGGAAACGAAAGAATCTCCATTTTATGACAAATCCGGTCTGATGGTTGTTCTCCACTAACCACAAGGATATAGGGACTCTATATTTCATCTTCGGTGCCATTGCTGGAGTGATGGGCACATGCTTCTCAGTATTGATTCGTATGGAATTAGCACGACCCGTCGATCAAATTCTTGGTGGGAATCATCAACTTTATAATGTTTTAATAACGGCTCACGCTTTTTTAATGATCTTTTTTATGGTTATGCCGGCGATGATAGGTGGATCTGGTAATTGGTCTGTTCCGATTCTGATAGGTGCACCTGACATGGCATTTCCACGATTAAATAATATTTCATTCTGGTTGTTGCCGCCAAGTCTCTTGCTCCTATTAAGCTCAGCCTTAGTAGAAGTGGGTAGCGGCACTGGGTGGACGGTCTATCCGCCCTTAAGTGGTATTACCAGCCATTCTGGAGGAGCAGTTGATTCAGCAATTTCTAGTCTTCATCTATCTGGTGTTTCATCCATTTTAGGTTCTATCAATTTTATAACAACTATCTCCAACATGCGTGGACCTGGAATGACTATGCATAGATCACCCCTATTTGTGTGGTCCGTTCCAGTAACAGCATTCCCACTTTTATTATCACTTCTGGTACTGGCAGGGGCAATTACAATGTTATTAACCGATCGAAACTTTAATACAACCTTTTCTGATCCCGCAGGAGGGGGAGACCCAATATTATACCAGCATCTCTTTCGGTTCTTCGGTCATCTAGAGGTGTATATTCCCATTCTGCCTGGATCCGGTATCATAAGTCATATCGTTTCGACTTTTTCGGGAAAACCGGTCTTCGGGTATCTAGGCATGGTTTATGCCATGATCAGTATAGGTGTTCTTGGATTTCTTGTTTGGGCTCATCATATGTTTACTGTGGGCTTAGACGTTGATACCCGTGCCTACTTCACCGCAGCTACCATGATCATAGCTGTCCCCACTGGAATTAAAATCTTTAGTTGGATCGCTACCATGTGGGGGGGTTCGATACAATACAAAACACCCATGTTATTTGCTGTAGGGTTCATCTTTTTGTTCACCATAGGAGGACTCACTGGAATAGTCCCGGCAAATTCTGGGCTAGACATTGCTCTACATGATACTTATTATGTGGTTGCACATTTCCATTATGTACTTTCTATGGGAGCCGTTTTTGCTTTATTTGCAGGATTTCACTATTGGGATGAACTGACCGCATTAGGTATTCGACTATGAAACGTCACATGTTAGACATGCAGACGCGTAAAAAGCCTGGTGTGGCTTGAGTATATGATGGGGCGTAAATTCATTCCCATTTAAGCCCATTTTGATGGCAAAATACCATCCGTTCCCTCATCTGATGAGCAACTTTAGCATGAAAATCACTTGTTTTGCACATTTGTGACAAAAACACAGTGGGGGAACGGATGATGACGTGTTCCTTTGAAAACATATTAAAAGGAGAACAGATTGAGATCATTTATTACACCTACTCCCTTCATTTAATGCTTCTGTTCATTTTGCAGGAAACATGGAAACAACGTCTTTTAAAAGCAAAGACGGTGCACCACTTAAGCACCAAGAAACGTGAACAGCAGAGAATCAAGAGTTCTCATTGGCTAAGAAGAAAGCAAGACATGGGGGATTGCAAGGAAACAACTAATCATCAACAAAACTGTTCCATCATTCAATTTGCAAGCTTCCAAACACTGTTGCCACCGCCCTCTTCCTTCAATCAAGAAACCAACTCTAAAGGATTTACAGGACTGTCACTCCCTCTTCTGCCTATAAATAGGACATTCCAAACACAAAAACATCATCAAATTCTGGAAGGATTGAAGTCCTAAAAGAAGAGATCACCTAGTATTAGTTAGTAGTTTAATTTTGTATAGTTGTAACTGTAGTTAAGTGACAACCGTTCTCCCTTACTCTGTATCATCCATTAAGACTCCCCACGAGCACCAACCTTCTTCTCCATTTTATATTTTGTTGTAATCTGTCTTGTTTAATTTCAATATAAGTGTTTCTTCTTTTCTTCCCAATCATTATCTCTGAACTAAATCTCGGGTCTATGGGATTTCAGTTTAGAATAATTATGTTTAAAATATCAGCCATAGGCTGAATTATTTGTGGGACGGATAAGCTACAAAACTCTTAAAGAATTATTTCCAAAACTCTTGACTGAAGCTTTTTGTATTTCTTTGGCTAAGTAAGCTATATTCATTGTGTATCAATGAAAATTGAACACATACTAAGAAAGGAACTTCCTTAACGAAGGGATTTCAGACAGCTTAGCCATTGGGGAAGGTAGTGTTATGGAAAAAACACTATTGGTCACCTTAGGAATAAGGGGCCACTTCGTCGATTTTAAGGTTATGTACTAAGTACCTGTTGGAGTCAAGGGAGCCATAGGAATATGGAAACTTGTGAGCCATCTAGTCCATGAGCTGAGGAATCAAAGTTGGCAGATAAGAAACTGGGACAAAGCCAAAAAGTGCTAAGTCTTGAGTAGAAGAAATAACTATTTAAGAATGGAGCAGTGAATCCGTTCCTTCTGTTAAACTGTTTTAAAAACCATCCACCTTGTTGTCTCTTGATTATAGTTATTACTGTTTTATTTTTAATTTGTTTAATCTTGTATCTATCAAACTTCAATGATTATTATCACACCTTCTTTTAAACAGGAAGGATCACATATATAACGCAGTGAGCAATTGTTTGCCATCAGACTGAACTTACTCTTCATGAGGAACGTTGTCAAGACAGTAGGGAACATTTGACCAGACAGTTCAATCACTAACTTTTCTTTTCATTTTCATTCTTTATAAAAAAGATTAAGACAATATTTAGAGTTCTATTCTCGTGGGAACGATAATCTGGGCCTTAATACACCCATTATTACTTGATGCGTGCACTTGCGCACTTGGGTTGGAAGTAAGGGAACAACTCTATTTTCTTTTGCTAATTTAGAACAGAGGAACGTCCCCCATCAGAATATATATTTTTCCACCATCAGCAAACCACCCAGCAATATACCAAAGTTGTTACATAGAGTAGCCAGTGGCGGAGCCAGGCCGTAATTTTAGCCCGGGAAAAAAAAAATTACATATTAAATATCAAAGATTATATATCAAAGCAAACATAAAGGCACTAACCTTTCCGGTAAGAATTTCAAACATAAGAATTGCATTTTCCTCCCACATCATAATAAGTAATGAACCATGCATTTCCCTAAGGATATGAAAACACACAAATATAATAAGTACAGGTATAATAACATTTAATAAATAATTTAAAATATAATAAAAAATTGCATACCTAAAATTGTAAGCGACGCTCTTTTAAATTAACGAAATCTTCAAGGATCGAATCTGTAGTAAAAGTTTCAGCAATATCCCTTTCAACATACAAAACCAAATTATTTGCAAGAAAGTCATCCTCCATTTTGTTTCGAAGCCTTGTTTTCACAATTTTCATTGCTGAGAATGCACGTTCACCACTTGCTGTTGAAACTGGTAGCGTTAAGATAAGACGAATTAGCCTATCAACCAAATGATAAGAATTTGACTTTCCTGTGTTAGCTAATCCTTGACACAACTCAGAAATTGAAGATAAATTTTTAAGTTCTAGATGTTTTGGGATGTCTTTGTGGAAATGCTTCAATTGACAATTCAAATTAATTCTCTCTTGCTCAGAAAAATCAAGAGGTTAATATTTCTCTGCAAGGCTACAAATATCATAAACATTAAATGCTTTGTAACCATTCTTCGGATCTAATGAAGAGCTAAGTGATAAAAGTTCCATTGTTTGCTCAGTAAACCTTCTATTTAATTTTTGTAATTGAAAGTCAATGGCTGAATTAAAGATATCAAAATGATAGTGATGCTCAATAGTTATTTGATCATGCTGTCGATGGCCACGACCTTCAATATATTGAGCATTAAGATCTGGAACATCTATTTCATGAAGCTTAGAGAAATTAACAACACTTTCAAGTATTCTTTTCCAACCATCATCTCGCAATTCTTGAATAAGTTCCTTTGTACTTGAAACTAATTGCATAACATTCAAAATATCTTGAGATTTTTGTTGCAAAGCTTGACAAAGAATTTCAGTGATGCCCATGATCTCCTTCATCAAAAGTAAATTAAAGATAAACTCAAAGGAAATGATCATCTTATAAGCTGCAGTAGCATCTCCTCTTTGAGAGTAAGTTGAGCCTTCGCTACGAATTTTTTCAAGAACTGAACATGATTCATTATACCCTCGCTGAAGACTGCATATAGAATAAAAATGAGAACCCCATCTAGTATCACTAGCCCGCTTTAGTGTACCTACTTGGTTAAAACCTGTACCAGTTTCAAGCTCACCAATAGTCTGCAAACGTTCAAATTCAGAAATTTGGGCAGCTTGGAATTGATCATGACGTTTAGAAGATGCAGTGATAATATTAATGATGAAATTCAAATTCTGAAAGAATAGATAAATAGAAGAAACTTCCTTAGAGGCGGCAATCAAGGCTAATTGTAATCGATGAGCAAAACAATGCACATAATAAGCACAAGGACATTCATTAAGAAATAATGCTTGCAATCCATTCCATTCACCACGCATGTTACTAGAACCATCATATCCTTGGCCACAGATATTCTGGATATCAAGGCAATGATGTGAGAGTATTTTACTAATAGCATTTTTTAGTGTCATAGATGATGTGTCTTGAACATGACAAAGATAAAAAAATCTCTCTTTTATGAAACCATCTTTGTCAAAAAATCTCAAGACAAGAGCCATTTGTTCCCTTTTGGATTCATCACGTGCTTCATCCACAATAATACAAAACTTAGAATCCCCAATATCTTTGCGAATCTCTTTTTGTATTTGAGGTGAGGTATACTTGGCTGTTAATGGAGCATTCTTTAGAAAAACATCTGCAACTTTTTCATTGTAAGATGCCAAAAGTTTGATCATTTCAATAAAATTACCCGTATTTCTTGAATCAATAGTCTCATCATGCCCTCTAAAAGCACATCCTAGAAAAGAAAGCCAACGAGTAAGATCAATTGAAGTCTTAACATGCAGCCTATTTTTTCAATTTGTTGGGAGCTTTGAGCATGTATAACTTTATCAATATGGCAAGACTGATTCATTAAGTCTACACATGAGATGAGTGCATTAGTATGTTGTGAACAAGGATCATCTCCCATGTGACTTATAAAAACACAATCTTTTCCCTATGAACTCTTTTCCAACTATTAAAACCTTTGATTGTGAATGTATCCCAACCGTGTCGCCCACCGACCTTTATATTGAAAAGATAGCACGGTAAACAAAATGCAGCATATATAGAAGGTGAATACTCAAGCCACGAAGAAAATTCTTTGAACTAAGAAGCTTGAAAACGTCGAGGATGCTTTTCCTTTGAAAATGGATAAGAGCATTGAGGTTGATATGGCCCAACTATTAAATAAGCTCTCCGTATCTCATCGACTTCATTAGCTGAATATTCCCTAATTGGCTTATGTTTTCCTGGATCACGTTCAAAAATTTTATTTTTGACTGTAATAATGTCATCAGTATGTTCAATTCTACGACACTTGGAAGGAGGTTGCTCATGAGAAGGTGCATCACTTTCATAAATTATGTTCGTAGGAGCATCACTTGATTCACTTTCAGAGACTAGTTTCTTTTTAAAGAAAACATCTATATTTTTCTGTTTATCCTTACCCATACTTTTCAACAGCTACCTGAGTCAGAAAACACACTGAATACAAAAATATAAATTACATTTAACTAACATGACTCAGATTAAATAATATAAAGAAAAACTCATTCTTACACATTTTTAATAAAATCCTAGAATAGTGGCCTAAATATCTAATTCTTCAAACTTAGAATTGTAAAAAATATGCTTCCTAAAGATAGTAAGAATGTAAAACCCAAAAATAATAGATAAGCATATGTTATTTTAAGGACATGACAAACTTGAAGACAATTATAAGGAGCACCGTTATGTAAAATAGAATTTTGGCTATCCGAAATTTCTTCTCAGCATTAAGTACCGTAAACACTTCACTAACATCAATAAGATGCTTCCTTTTCACATACCTAAATCATTAAAAATAAACAATAATTAACTCACAAGAAAACATAACAAAAAAAGTTTATATAATTCCATCTCCATGTAACTTGGCTGATGAATTACACATAAAAATATCTGCCATGTGCCCATTGTCCACTAATAGATGATTTAGTTCTCCCAAAACAAAAAAATTAGAGTACTTGATAGTTATATGTTAGCATTAGAGTACAATGAGAACGAGAGCATTAGAGTACAAATGTTGAAATCTTGTGAATTTTGTAACTTGATAGTTATATAATAGCATAGTTTTTGGTAGGTTGTATGATGTATAAAGGACAATAAATGTTCTGTGGTTATTATATTCAGACCCCATTTGCTTTATAAAGCTATAATAATCAACTAGATAAACTACAAGTCTACAAGTGGATTGATATTTGAAAACTCATTTTAATAAATAATGGGAACCTTCGTAAAATTTGTGAAAGTTATAAAAATGCTCTTCTTAATTTTGACTATTACAATATGACTTTTCATGAAATGTCTTGGTGGTAGATCTAACTTTAAATTTGAATAAAAAGTACCCTTTCAAACACCCATACCTAAAATATAAAAAAATAGAGATAGCATCATCCAATCCATTTATATATACTTTGTTACTACTTAGTAGAGACCAATTTGTTGTTGAAAATGTCCACAAGTCACAGGCAAAAAGAACAAACAGAAACAGAGGTTACAGAGCAACGATGATAAAGTAGATACAAGTTTGAAATTTTTGTTGGGAAAAAAAAATTGAAATAACAAAAATTCCTAAAAACTTGTTGGGTTAAAGGTAGGAACTTTAGCTAAGCTAATTTGGCATAAAGAAAAAAATTGAAAACGGGAAGAAGAAAAAAAAGTCGTGATACTTGATGAGAGAAAGCTTGACCAGTTGACCTTGGAAGTTAGAATAGGGAGAGATAAGCGGGAAGAAGAAATATATTAATCTGAGAGTCAAAGAGTGATAATCTTATTATAGATTTTTTAATCTTATTAAATATTTCTAATTTTTTTGTATGCAAGCTGGAATTGAACACATAACTTGATACAACCCACTCAAATCCTTCATCAAATATATTTTAATATTAGCCCGGGCCAAATTAAATTTTTAATCCGAATCAAATTATAATTAATTATATAATTATATATAATAAATAAAATTTGTTAAAATTTAGCCCGGGCCGAGGTACCCCCCAGCCTATACGTGGCTCCGCCACTGAGAGTAGCGACTTTGGTTTAATGTTGACATCTGTCCAAAGCTACACCATAGTAGCTGATCAAACCAACGACTACACCATAGTAGCTTCACATATTAGCGACTATGACCAAGTGAAGCTACTCTCACCTGTCTCATGGTTCAGTCCTAACTAGAGGTGTTAACGAGCTGAGCCGAGTCGAGCTTTGGTCTTAACGGGCCGAGCCTGTGTTCAAAAGTGTCAGACTGGCCTTAGCCTGTTACCTGTTACGAATATAATATCAGTCTGTGGCCTTGCTCATTTACAAAAAACAAAAGCTTGGTTTAGCCTGTTAAAAAAAATTAAGACAACAAAAATTTATCCAAACAAAATATACAATCAACAGCACTAGTAATTCCATAAATATTCATAAATTTACTTTATATCCAAATAGCATAATATAAAATAAAATCATTCAAAAGTATGTTTAATTAATAAAATGGGATGAAATGAATTGAGAAGAGAGAGAGGGCTATCACAAGTACTATAAAAAATAAAAAATAAAATAAAAAAAATAATATATTAGGCAAGCCTGAGAGGCTCTAAGGCCGATCTTTTGAATTGGAGCCTGAGGCTTTTTTATTAAACGAGCTTTTATACAAGTCCAAGCCTGGGTCCAACAATCAATTTTAGACATGTAAGCTCAGGCCTTCACGAGCTGAGCCAAAGGCCCCTGTAAGGCCCCTGGCTCGTTTAGCACCCCTAGTCCTAACCATCGTAGCTTCCCTAGGAAGCGACTATAGTAACCAATTCCCAATGATGTCGTAAACAATTCCCAGATTGGCACATTGTTGTCCTCAGAAATCAAAGAAAATAAAACTAAGGGAACAGGGAGTAGGAATCTTCAATTGAATGAATTTTCAACAGGAAAAAATCAATCAATCAAGATCAAAGAGTATTCAGACTTGATCTTGAAATAAAATGATACATCAATTCAAGGAAGATTCACAATCCATCATTTATATAATTGTAACAAGACTTCATCAGACAAAGAATAAAAATATTAAGCTAAAACACCGCTCACTAGGATTTTCAATTCACTCACACTCAAGTGTTTGAGGGGTTTGTATTTCACTCATCCTTCATTGAATCAATACTACTATAGGCTTGCTCATATTCTCATTCTCCACAGTCTTAATGACCTATAAAATATAATAACCCTAATTATATAACTTTTAAATTAGAGGGTTATGATGAGAACCTTATGGTCATAAATAGAATGAGGATGAAATTCTAAGAATTTTGATATCTATATTGAGGGTATTTTGCACGGATGAATTTTCATCTGTTAATTTTGTCTGCTGACGCAGTAATAGTCAGTAGAATAGCTCCAAGTTAGCAAATTATTGTGAAAGAGCTAATCTAATGATATAAATACCATGAATGAGGTTAGTATATGATTTGATGAAGTTTGATACCCATATTGGGGTATTTTGGAAAAGTCACTTCTGCCGGTTTTTTTGTACTGTTGTAGAAGCAGCTGGTAGAATCCCAGAACGGGAAAAAGATAAGAAAATGGAAATAAAGACCAATATATGCCTAACAAGTCATAATTAGACCAATAATGTTAAAGTTAAGAAGATTATGAAATCTGGGTACTGTTAGTGGATCTGTGATCTACTAATCAAATTTTTAAGTTATGAACATGATAATTAGACAAAATTAATGTTAAGTACTTAAAGTTAGAGTCTTGGAGGTTTCCAGATAAAAAATTTGACGACCGTTCAGATAAAAATTACACCAGGTCTCACTAAAGGACAAATGCCACTAAAGTGACATGGCACCCCTAATTAGGGCACCATTCCCCTTCCCCTTCCCCCTCATTCTGAATCACCCCCCCTTCTCACTTCTCTCTCTAAAATTTAAACTTTAAACTTTGCTCTTACTTCTCTATTAGATTTCATCTCCAAAACCTCACCAAATCTCCTTCACCAAACTTGTTCCCCTCATTCTCCTCTTCACAACCATACCATTTTCATGGTGTGGATCAAATTTTTGAGTTCCTCACACCACCATACAACCATGGTTTTTGGGAGTTCAAGGACCATGGAATTGTGTTCTTAAGTTCTCTTGAAGAACAACACATTCTTGCTTAGTTCTCTTGAGTTCTAGTGTAAGTGTTCTTAAACTTTCTTGAAAAATATCATCTTTTTCTCTTGTCTTCATGAGCTCTAACTCTTGAGCATGTTCTTGAAGGTGTGTTCTTGTTTAAAGGAGCATTCTTGGTTGTAAAAAGTGGAGCTTGGAGCTAAACGTGTGAACTTGAAGATGTAAGCTTCACCTTGGGAAAAGATGACCCAAAAAGGCTTCTTTTCCTCCTTTTTATGCTAGGGTTTTATGTATAGGTGGGGTGTATGTTGCTGAAATTTTTTAAAAAGAAAAGGTTTTGATGATTGCTCTTGAGGGTGTGTGAGTTTTGAACCAAGAAATGGTTGATTTGATGTGTAAAGGTGCAACATTTGGATCCTTGTGTGAATTCCATGAAAGAGGATGAACTTGAACCTTAAAGGAGACACCTATGATTCAGCCATGTCATGGGATCTAGGGTTTGATGACTAAAATGTTTTATGAAGTGATTAAGTGTGGAAAAATTGTAAAAAGAACTAAGAAAGATTAAT